TTGTTTATTCTAGAATATTTTCCAATTCATTTACATAAAACATGCGATTTGCCACCGGATCGTTCGTACATATTCGGCTATCATCCACACGGTATCATTTCGCTTGGTGCCTTCTGTAATTTTGCTACAGAGGCGACCGATTTCGAACATAAATTTCCTGGTATTAATCTACGTTTACTCACATTGACATCGAATTTTCGTATACCATTCTACGAAATCTATATATCATTGATGGGTATATGTGATGCATCGAAAGAATCGTGTAATTATATTTTAGAACAAGGTCATGGCAATAGTCTGATGTTAGTACTTGGCGGTGCCAAAGAAGCGTTAGATGCTCGACCATCACATGAATATATATTGACACTTAAAAATCGAAAAGGTTTCGTTAAAATCGGTCTAGTTCATGGTGCCTGCTTAGTGCCCGTGTTTTCATTTGGTGAAAATGATCTCTATGAACAAGTGCCGAATCCACGTGGATCACGTATTCGGCGATGGCAAATGTTGTTACAGAATAAAATGGGCTTTTCATTCCCATTGTTTAATGGACGTGGCGTATTTCAATATGCAATCGGTTTTCTACCCAATCGACATCGTATCGATACATATGTCGGTGAACCGATTCAATTGCCGAAATTAGAACATAATCAAATAACATCCGATATTATCGATCAATATCATAAGCAATATATGAATGCGCTAACGCGTCTATTCGATCGATACAAATCTGAACACGATCAATCGGATGCAACGATCATTTATGTCAATGATGATGATGTACCATCATAATACAATGTGTTTGTACTAGGGGTGACACCTTTTCTTTACCGTGTCATTACTTTACTGAATAAAGTAACGCTTTTCGGAATGTGCCATCCAACTAACTTTCTTTTAGGTAAGAACTTGAACTACCAGCAAGTTCTCATGTGCGCTCACGCATTCCTTGAGCTCAATTAACTTGGTTAGAAGCATCGATCAGCTCTTGAGTCAATATATTGATACAAAATGTGATATAGAAAAAGAATCAATTAGCAAAAGAAATGTCTTCTTTGTAGAATTACTCCATCTGCCGCAGAATGCAAAAAAGAACTAGAACGAATCTTGAGCTGCAGACATATTTTTGACCAGTAAACAAGATTTTGATATTATCTGTCATCAATATCTTCCATTGATGATCGATCGAATTGCTTCATTTGGTCTCTCGAATGACGGTGATACTCGAGAACACATCGATCTATTTCTGTTACGTGGTTTCAGAGCTGGAAGCGTTTGAAAATTTTCAACACAACCCAACCGACGGGTTGAAATGGGCCTCCAACCGATGAAAAATCGGCAAAAAATTCGATGGACATTTTCAAGTTTTCTGAAAAATCGTTTACTTGAATTAGCGAAATCAGTGTCAGTAAGTCTTGTAAGTGATCAAATACTAGCACTCAGATTATAACTGAATTGATCATTGGAAAGTGACAAGTGAAAGTGATGTGAAAACAAGATGGAACCGAAGTGCAAAGCACTGATCATCTTCTAATTAACAAAGCCATTGTTTTCGTTTGGTTTTGTTCTGGAGGAAAGACTCAGCGATACAGCCAAAGAAAAAGTCCCCAAAAGGCAAAAATAGAATTTAGGGGTGGCATAGGCGGCGGAACCATGGGAGCAGTGGGGACTCGAGCCCCCATAGATTTGGAAAACTCAACAGCAATAACCGTTTTCTCCCAGCGGAAGCTCGCGGAAAAATCGATTAAGCCTCCATGAAAACCTTATACAACGATATGAGCCCCCATAGCCCAAAATTCATTCCACCGCCTATGAGGGATGGGATCTCCCCTCCATTCTCTCCTAATTGTATGGTCTGAACGAAACGGCATGCCTGTGATAAAACCATTTTGGTCACGCGAGAGTGGGTATTAACCAGGTGGGGAAAGCGTCTGTTAGTTAATAGTAGAAAACTAGGAAAAACGGCATCGTCTCATAACTAAAAGTGTTTCACCATTTTTGAAAAACATTATCACCATCAGATTTACATTGAAAATCACCAAAAAAAAAAGGGATTTTCATTTGCGTGTTCAACCGGTAAAAAACCGATCTCGATCGGTCGATTGATAGGCTCGGCCCAACCCAACCGATGCACCGATCAAGTGGCCGGTTGGGTGCCGGTTCACCCGTTGGGTTTCAGCTCTGCGTGGTTTCATTCTTCGTCAATTCACTCAATTGCAATCACTTTCATTGTCTCAGTTGTATATATATTATATATAACGTTCTATGCTTTGATAGAGAAATGTCTGCTCTATTTTTTGAGGTTTTTCAATAAAAGATTCATTGAGCTGCTGTTGAGAAATCGTCAAAATACTGCGGATGTCTAAAAATGGCCAATTTCGCATGAACCATCATGAGTCATCGTTAGTACCGTCTTTATAATGCTTGAAATGTAAGACAGAAAGGCTAATATTTTGGATCAGCAGGTTTTTCAACCACGAGCTTTTGTTTTATGAAATAAAAATCAATTATCAAAATTTTTCAAACGCCCATGTGTCTCATATTGGACGGCCCAGTCATGGATCTTCTCTTAAAGTCTTCAGTTACAAATCGAGAGATGTCTGTTTTGCCTTTCTTTCTATAAAAACGAACGTTAATAGATTCAATCATTATACAACTCTTTTCAGTAGTATCAATAGGGACATTCACTCTAGCAGCAGATGATAATATAAAGGAGGGTTGAAAATAAACGATCGACAGAGCCAATATTGCAAAAGAACAGAACACAAACGATGGAGTGACGCACCTCCTTTTGCGCCCTGTCCATGTTGTAAAAGAGGCAATGCTTCCTGTCTACAGGTAAACATATCTCAGTGGGAAAAAACCAAGTCACTTTCTTTCAATGATATACACGTGACCCAGCCGATCGCTCGATCAAGTACAACAAACAGAAGGAAAAACGACAGTAATATATGGCTGCGTCAACTGTCACGCTATACAACATTCTCGGAGTGGCTAAAGCGAGTGACGATGTGCAATTGCGTATCACATATCGTGAACGAATTCATCAATTCAAAGCCGATCGACAGAAAACACCTGGAAATCGTACGATTACAGCTGAACAATTTCGACAAATTTGTCGTGCTTATGAAAGATTATCCGATCATGATAAACGGAAGCGATATGATGAACGGCAAGAATGGATTTCGGATTTATATGAATCTAAATATACACTTCAACAATTGGCAGTCGAACCTTATCTTGAGTTGCAATTGAAACAACGATTACAAAATGTGAAATTAAAGACAAATTAATGCACAAGATCCAGTAACAGGTCATACACCACTGTATTGTACAACACGTACTTGCAATGTTGAAGCTGTACACTATCTGATTGAACAAGGTGCCAATCCTGATTTAGTACAACGAGCAGGAAGTACGGCTTTACATGTAGCTGCATTCTATGGATATCCAGAAATGGTTCAATGTCTATTAGAAAGTGAAGCCGACTATCAGTTAAAGAACTCTCTCGGCAACTTGGCCGAGCACGAGTCTTACAATGATGAGGTTCGAAATGCTTTTGCTGCATTGAAAAAGACACCATTTGTACAAGCAGCTGCTAATCAACTCGATTGGTTCAAAAATAATGCGTAGAATATTCAAGAACATATTGATGTACAATATCATGTTCAACGGCAGACACTACTTCATTGCGCATGTAAAAAAGGTCATTTTGATCTTGCTAAATGGCTCATCGAAGCACGTTCAGCTAAACTCGATCTGGTTGATATTAATTTAAATTCGGCTCTGCATCTTGCTGCATATGGTGGACATACATCAATTGTACAATATCTTCTCTATCGAGGTGCTAACTCAACTCTAATCAATAAATGGGGTATGACAGCTGAACAAGAAGGCATAGTTCATGGTACTCGAATCACAGGGTGTGGGTATGGGTGCAGATGTTGTCTTCTGTTTGCTCACACCCACATCCACACCCTAAAAATGGCTGTTCCTTCATTATGAAAGAACTTACTCATGTTTGACAGTGTTTAGTCTCAATTAGAGTTTTTCATCAGTTCATTTTAAAAAAAGAGAATATCGTATGTAAGTAGTTTTTAAATTAATTTCAATTACTCGACAAAATTAACAAAACAAGACAGCAAAAGAAAATAATAAAATACTAAACTTCTGCATTGTGTTCTCATTCTGGTAACCAGAACACAATGTAAAAACACATTACATGTGATGATGCCAAGGGCACCATATGAAAATTTTCAAATGGGATGCAAATACTTTTACAATGGTATATATAGTTGAGGCACATAACTTTTTCTGAAAGAAATTTCTTTTCTAAAAAAAATAACATCATTTTGCACTTTTCTCAATTACATTTCAACTTGATTGTTCATTATTCCATTAAAAAACACTGCCACAGTGAAATCATAATTTAAAAAAACAATTATAATCTACAAAACAATACAAAGTTTCCGATTAAGACATACTAAAGACTGAAATTATCTAGAGCAAGGTTTTTTTATGACTGTACTTATCTTTAATTCAAGCGCATTTGAATAATTTAGGTTCATGTTGAACAAATATTAAAAAACTCCGTACACTTCATCTTTCAACTCAATCTTATTTTTAATTCAGCAGCTATCGTTTCTCCTAGAATTGAACTTCGATTAGCTGTCCATGAATGCTTTATATGACTAAAAACACATTCTGTACATGTATTAGAAAGAGGAATTGAATATATATATAAGAAACAAATTTTGTCATTTCATCACAATTTGTTGTGTTTTCTGTAGGTTAAAACAATGAAAGTTAGCTGAGTCGGGATGTGACCTGTGTGATGAGTGAAGATGAAGTTAAATGCTACACATACATCCACATTCACATTCTTATCATCTATCCAGTAAAAACTTGCATCTCAATTAATTTTTTTTTGAATATTATATCCAATCAAATATGACAAGAAAATAACTAAATAAAAATAAAATAAAAGATTCGTCGAACTTTATTGTGATCAAAAAATTAAAAAAAGTTAGTTAGAAGAAGAATGTCCTGTCTTGCGACTACCTTGCGGTATAGAGCAATGTCCGGAGACAATTGCGAAAGCCTAATATTTCCCCTACGACTATTACTAGCTACAGCTGCGGACAGACGGTCGTTTGAGCTCCCGTACACACTGATTAATCATATACTAGAGACAAAAGTCAATCGTTTCCACTACGTAGTCAGTTTGGTAATCATACGGGTGATTGGAGACCAACAGCCGTTGGTGACTTGTCTATAGTCATCCCATGTCTGATGGCGCCGGGACTCAAACACAATACCTTGGTAGTACGTGTCAAATAGATGAACCATTCAGCCATAGTGGCAAATAAAAAAGGTTAAGACAAAACGGAAAGAGTAAAATAGATACTACTAATCGGTGGTCAATTTTTCATCAATACTGTTCACAATGAATGTCGTTCCAGCGACGTCATAAGCTCCATTGAAAACCATAATTCACTTCAATCAAAGATCAATTTATGGCAACAAAAGCTCAAAAATCAAAATAGAATGCAACACGTGTACCTTAGAGGTATAAATTTTTTGAGGATGAAAAATAGCAAAATGGAATACATTTGGCGGCCCTGTATTAGTCCTAGGATGGTATTTGATTATAATACGTAAGTTATATCTTATTTTTAAAAACATCCCTAACTTAACGGCTCTACTTGGCCACTAGAATAGATTACATGTTTACTTATTCACCAGTGTGAATTTAGCGATTGATTCAGCGAACTAAAGTTTGTGGTGAATGATAAGTATTCTTGATAGACATATTATTGATGTGTGTAGGCACACATACAGGAGAGGAGAGGAGCATTGTTAGCAGTAATTTCTTACCATTGTAAACCTTGATCACCTTCTCTTTTTTTTCTTCTTTTCTCTCTTCATTGTTACCGTTTGTTCTTCTTTCTTCTCGGTCTTCTCTTTGAGATGTTTATATATGTGTGTGTAACTGTGTGAAGACACTCTTTTTAAAATAAAATAAAGAAAACTCGTGCTGTTGCGAGCTAACAACAAGGTAGGGAAACAAATTTCACCTAATGTTCATCAGACTGGATCAAATTTATGAACAACTTCAAATTAACATGAAAAGCATTGACTCTCATCCTAAGGTATGGTCAGAGTCTCATGAGGAAGCCTCACCAACAGATACCCTCCGTTTGAGCTCATGTTTTGCTCATTGGTAGGGATCATGGTGCAGATAAAAACCCTAGAGGGGTTCGTGCCCATAAGCCTTTCTTCTCGAGTTATTATCATTTAACTGAATTTTCAGCCTCTGACAAGGTATTATAAAAAAACTGCAACAAGGAATTTTTGCTTGAAAATTTCCTCAATAACAGACCTCATGAGCCTTATTATATCGTGAAACTTTCAGCTCGAACGAATACTTCTCTCTCGAGATAATAGGTTTCCACTAAACACTACTTTTTTTACAAACTCTCAAAAAAAAAAAGGTCCATTTTTAAGATATCTCATATCTTAAGAAAAACTCATTTGTTTGAGCTCAACGTTTCAGGATATAATAAGGACCATGAGGACTGTTATTGAGGAAATTTTCAGGCAAAAATTCCTCGTTGCAGTTTTTTTATAATACCTTGTCATAGGCTGAAAATTCAGATATATGATCATAACTCGAGAAGAAAGGCCTGTAGGCACGAACCCCTCTAGAATTTTTATCTGCACTATGATCCCTACCAATGAGAAAAATATGAGCTCAAACGGAGGGCATCAGTTGGTGATGTTTCCTCGTCAGTCAAATAAACCATCTGCACTTTTTTTCTTCAAATAATCTTCTCATTAGTGAACCGTATGGACATTTACGCGCTACTTTCAATAGTGGAAAGTTTAATTAACGGAGTGTATTTCTTTTTCTTTTCTTTTTTTTTTGAGAAACGTTCCACTCAAAACAAACAGTTATTGGCAACATTTTTTATCATTACTTTTTCTTTTCACGTTATTTTCTTATTTAAACATTAGTGTAATTTGTATTTTTGCAATATGCACAGCAGTACACTGCATATAACCGCTTTGAGAAAAAACCCGTTAATTCCGTTCATTATCAGACCAAGTAAACCTCGTTCTGGTAAGAAAGGGATTTTTTTATATCGACAAAATAATTTCGTCTAGAAGTGCGGTCACTTAGAAGTGAAGGTGATTCTTACTTCTAACGATAGTTTTGTGCCTATCTCGCTATTCATTTATTCAGTTTGTTTGTAGAACTGACAGATTGATTTGAAAAGAAAAAAAAGCACAAATTTCGCTGCTAACACGTTCAACTGATGACAGTAATCTATACCTTGATTTAAAAGATTCATTGAAAATATAAGAATGAATGTTGTTTCTCGTCAATACATCAAAAGACAAGTGAAAGAATTGAATTTATTCGATGATTTAACTTCTCGATCTGACGCATTTCATTACCGAATTGCCATTATATCAACTCGCATATATCTTGTTCTTCTTACATTGGCCGTTCTTATTCTTATCATATGCGTTGGACTAGATGGTCAAACTCAAGTTTTTACTATTCAAAATCCATCTCTAACAATCTATGAGATTTTGAAGGAAAAATATCTGAACATACTTTCTTGTCCCTGTAGTCAAGTAGCCATTCCGTACATTACATTTGTTTCGATGTCTACTCAATTTCATCCTATATGTTCAAGTTGGTTTGTCTCCGATGACTGGATCAATCTTTTGTTTGATCCGGACATTAGCTATTTCTTCCAACTAGATTTTCGTTCATCAGCCACAGGCCAATTTCAAATGCTTTCCTCACTCTGTTCATTTGTCAAACAGTATGTACGTGATTCAATTGATGATTTTCTTTCCGACACTTTCTTCAGTCCACAACTGGTTACGCAACAGTTAATGGATGCTCAGGTTCAATCTGAAACTTTATTTTTACGAACATCAACCGTTAATTCTGTGCGTCAAGTTTTAAGTTTTATACGTAGTGCTACACATAACAATCAATTACAATCAGCATTGCAAACATCAAAAAGTCTTTCGATAATCGTCAGAAGCGATGGTACAGCAGTTATTAATGCCATGAGTAGCATTTTCTTCGATCATAATGCTACATTATGCTCCTGCGGCATCACATCCACCTGTTCATCATCATCTGGCATCTTCAATATGTGGACCTACGTCAGCAACGGAAATTTTACATTGCCAATACTGCCAGTGGCAAATGTGACAGGTTTCGTAACTGGTTGCTATGTCATCGAAGCTTTGCTTCAGTCGACACTCGAATGTTTCTTCAATCGAACATGTCTTGAAATAGTGCTCGCATTCTTTTCGTTTCATAATATTACCACAATTAATACTCTTAATATATCTCAAACAAGATTCTCACCGAGGACAACTATCGAAACAATATTGAATGATTTGTTTATGGAACAATGGAATACAATGAGCTCATTCGAGGACTATTTCGTTAAATGTTCTCCCATTGCTTGTACATATTCATCCACACAGCAGAACAATTTATTATATATATTGACGAAATTATTGGGTCTCTATGGTGGACTTACTGTTTTTCTTCGGATCTGCGTACCATTTATCGTAGCTTGGTGGATTAGCCGAATCAATGCTCCAACAGAATCTGATCAACGTAAGGTTCACTACATTATACTAAGTACTGTTAATAATCACTTCTAAGAACGAAATTTATTTCAATTTTATACCTTTGAACAAGTTAATGAATTTTTTCTCTGAAATATTGGCGGTTGATAATTTTCTTTTAACTAAATTTAAAAACGTAGACTTGTAACTTATCAAATGACAGAAATAGGCGTCTTAAATTGTGTCTTTCTCATCATAAATAAGTTATGGAAAACTGTAATTTCTGTCTCTGTTGATACAAAACTTGTTTTCAATTCTGTAAAATTTGTTGCTGACTTCTAAATATATATTTCATGACTCATAGTCACTCCAAAACAGGAAGACCTGATAATACATTGTCTAGACTGTCAGATAGAAGAAAAATGATTAAAATAATAATCCTAATGTATCCATCGAACTTTATCGAAAACAAGCTAATTTTACTCGAAGAAAAAGTGAATATGAGCTGAGGAGATTTCTATCAATCTTTAATTTATTTGACGTTTTTTTTGGAATATTCTTTGTAGTTAGTCTAATAGATCGGTTTCGAACTGTGTATAGTCTGATAAAAACTAAACTGATCCGCTTAAATCTATTCGAAAATCATGAAACTCAAAATGATCAAGTTGCATTGAATACATCAATCCTTTCGACACGTATCTTTATCTTAATTCTTGGTGTATCGATTATGATTCTGATCGGTTACACATCCTCAATTGTTCAAACTCAAACACATATAATTAATAATCCATCTCGAGCAATCTATGAAGATTTGTACACTAAATATTCAATTATGCTTCAATGTGAATGTAGTGAAATTGCTATTTCCTACGGTTCATTCCTGTCATTATCTCCCGAGTATCATCCAGTATGTTCAAGTGCATTCATCACTGATAGTTGGCTACAGGTGACACGACGTGATGATAACCTTGGTTTTGCTTATGATCCTGAAGATTTCTTCTATGCTGGCTTCGGATTTTTTAATACTCTTGCCTCGTTATGTTCACTTGCACAAACGATTCTAAACAATTCATTGCATGTTTTTAATCGAAATAGATTGGTGAGTGGTCGAGTGTTATCCAAAGATGAATTAATACCCCGTTCACTTGTAATACTCGATACATTCAAAACAAATACGATCAATAAATTAAAACGTGATCTGTCACTCATTCAATCTCATACACGAAACATGCTATCAATATCACAAGGAATTACTTTTACTAGAATATATGAACAAGTAAATAGGGATATGTATAATGAATTATTTTCAGTACCACTTGAATGGGATGATTGTTCTTGTGCGCTTAATGATCCATGTAAAGCACTAATGGGTTTTTATTGGAATAATGGTCCACCTTTATTGAAATTCACTATTCCAAATTTATTTGTCGGTTGTTTTACTCTCCAAGCGGTTTATCAATCGTCGCTTGATTGCTTATTCAATCAAACATGTTTGAATGCAGCACAAAATGAAATTCGTTCGGAGAGACCTATCAATGTGTCTGTTCTTCAAGCACGACCTAACGGTTTTTTGCCTACAACACCTATCAATGAGATCGTTGATACGCTCATGGTTGAACGATGGGGTGAAAATATTCAATATGATCGATACTATGAACAGTGTTCGCCTAAACAATGCTTATACTCATTGAAATATCGCATGAATGCATTGTACATATTTACTACGATTGCCGGTTCAATTGGTGGACTCATTGTCGCATTAAAACTCATTGTACCGTTCGTTGTCAAAAGCATACGTCATGCTGTCAGATTAAAAGCCAAAACAAACACGACGACACGTAAGTAGTGATCAAATGATAGATAGAGGAATTTTTCACGAAATCAATAGCAATAGAAATCATCACAGTTTAGCAAAGAGTAGGATATAATATAAACAACGTTTCGTGATCCTTGGTATGGCGATTTAAATGCTGTTTCTGAAAAATATACTAGATAGTTTAGTATATAGATACTAAAGAGTTTTATAATTAGTCGTCTAAATCTTTCATTTTCTCAGGTGAATAATGTTCAATAAGCGTGACATTCTAAGTTGTGTCTACTAAATTGTGCTAAAGATCATTATTAGCTAAAAGTTTCATCTTTATTGTTGAACAGCTGCTAGAATTTTCGAAATCTTTCATGATTGTGTGTGTGATTACTTCAAAACAAAAATTTGTTCCTTTGTGCATATACTATGAAGTCTTGGAAGTTAATAACTCTATCCGAAAACATTATGAAGAATGCATCAATTTATAGAATTTTACCTCACTGCGCTAGCCGTCATGCAACCTTGAATCACCGCAATTGATAATGAAAGCTTTTTTTAATAAAGTTCCAAAAGAGACTATTTTAAAAATATCTCTGTTAGGATTGTAGTGTTAAGTACAATTCAAAGAACGGAACTGTATAGAAATAGTCCTTTCTAGTATAGTGGTAGTATAGATACACGAATAGCAGAAGGTGTATAGTTCCCTTTCTATGGAATGATCAATTTTTGTTTGTTTTATTAACATCAAGAATTAGCCACTATGCCGCTTATTTGAGTCAACAATAAAAGATTTCTAACAATCATTTATCGAAATGAACAGAACACATTATCATAGTGATCGAGTTTCTTATCTTGGATTGAAAAATTTGTTAACTATGTATTTGGTACCATTATTACATGCTGTTATGAATTTCGCATAATTCTGTCAGCCCTTATGCGCTTTCATGTCACTTTTAGTTCACAGAAAGCTCATCGATTACAGTCGGTTCGTGAAAGACTTGGTCATCAACAAGATATATAATTTGAATGTGTTCAAAACAGACATTTCATCATTCGATTATCAGCGACGTCGCACAGAGATTCTTACAACTCGCTTATATCTTATTTTACTTGCATTTTTCATTAGTATTCTCATTGTTTACAATGCAATTAGCATTCGATCAAAACAGATCATCATATCTAATCCGTCGCAAGTCGTATTTGATTTTCTTCAATCTAATTCAAATTATTCAGCAACACTTCAATGTCCTTGTCGCAACGTTACTATGCCGTACAATTTATTTGTTTCGATCTCTCCTTATTTTCATCAAACTTGTTCAAGTGATTTTGTTATCAAGAACTATGATTGGATCAATCTAGTTTACAATAAATGGGCTACTCTAACATATTCTTATGATGATTTTCGTCTCTTTGTTGTTCCACAATTTCAATGGCTATCATTATTCTGTACGCTGGCAAATATAACACTTACAGATGCGATTAATGAGTTCCTTTTAGATGCATTTATTAGTGTCCGAGTAGAGTCTCGCAAGACTATCGAAATGCAAGTCAATAATTCTCTTACTCAATTTCGTTTGTCGACACCTCGTACATTTGTACGTATGCTTGATTTCATTCGAAATGTCTCGCAAGGCAATTGGATTGTCACGTCTATTCGATCGAATTGGTACTTCATGGTGCCAACACCAGCTGATAGTGAGATGACGTGGAACTCATTGTGGGCGAAACCTCGTTTCTATAACAACGGTAGCTGTTCATGTGGTACAAGTTCGATGTGTAGCTCCCCAGCTGCTATCGATGGAAGACTTGTACCTGGTTTTCGTGTCGGTTGTTTTCCTCTCGAAGCTCTTCTTCAATCAACACTTGAATGTTTGTATGATATTACCTGTATCAATATGCTTCAGTCCATGTATACTTCATCGAATTTGATCTACCATCCACTCAATTCAACTATTTCAGCTTCGAATACCACTGTTCAATCACTTGTCAGCGAATTGATGGTTGATCGATGGGAAACTAGCATGAATTACACTGGATATTATGCATCATGTGCACCTGTCTTATGCACGTATTCTATTAATGAAAAAGGTGATCTGATATACATTATCACCGCTATCCTTAGTATATATGGTGGATTGAATGTTGCCCTAAAATTATTCACTCCTTTGATCGTTAAATTTGGTGGATTTTTGTTAATGCATCATCGACGACAAGTACAACCTATAGTGGCTACGATCGAAATGCATAAATGAGTAATTATACGTATATGGGATGTTCACCATTGAATGTTCCTGTCATGTTGCTAAATCAATATTGTCTAGTGCATTATTCTTGTCAAAGAATTCAAACACTTTTCTTTTCTTTTAAAAAACTGACTTCATGTTGTGTCATTGTAGGTAGATGTGGGTGTGTGCGTGGGTGTGTGTGGGTGTGGGTGTGGGTGTGCGTGGGTGTGTGTGGGTGTGGATGTGGGTGTGGGTGTAGATATTGTGGAATTGAAGAGTTACCCGTGCACTCACACCCACACCACACCCACACCTACACCCACACCACGTCCACACCCACACCCCCACCCCCACACCCCCACCCCCACACCTACACCCCCACCCACACACCCACACCCACACCCACATCCACACACTCCACACCCACACCCACACCCACACACCCACCCACACACCCACACCCACACACCCCACACCCACACCCTACTAAAAAGATAACCAATTAAAAAAAACTAATGAATTTTTTGCAAATATTATACTGATTAAAGTTACATTAACCCGTGGGCAGCCCGGAACGGGTTGATAATTCTTCAACCCGTAGACTAACCCGCGAGTCAAAAAAAAATCGTTCAACCCGTCAAGCGGGTCGGGTTCGACCCTCAACGGGTTGGGTTTGCGGATCGGATCAAAAAAAAGTCAGTCACTAACATCTCTGGCCCAAAACCACACCCCACACCCATCCCACACCCCACACCCACACCCATCCACACACCCACATCCACACCCATTCACTGGAGATAGATGATGATATGCTCTACCAAATAAAAAATTAAAACCTGAATTAAAGTTCCGGCAAAATCCGGCAACTGAATTGCATTATTTGCTAGTATAGCTATTTTTCACTATATTGGAGATAAGTTTTTGACCTTATTAAACCATTAAGCACTTCAAGAAGCTCCAATCGTTTGTAATATACAGTAAATATATAAGACAATATAACTATATAAAACCGATGAATATAACTAGATTCTCAATTTACAGCGTATCATTTACCTGTATGGTTCTATCTGTGATATTGACCTACTTACGGACCTTTGTTAGACCTACAGTTTGATTAGATACTAGCTTTCAATCAGTACCCAGGATACAGTTAAATGCAGAACCACAATGTGCCAATGAGCATATCATCTTATGTGATATCTTTCCTTTCTCTATATGTGGTTATACAATCAATATTACGTGGTTTGCATAATAGCGTTACTCTTATGCTTATCTATGCATGATTGAGCTTCATTCTCTTTCTGTCGTAATGTGCTTCTCATGTTGTATCATTATTCACTCGTATATTATATATATTGTTCTCACCTATCTATTCTTTCGCTACTGTCCTTACTCTATTGTTCTTCTATATCTGTTCTCTCCTTGGTCTCATCTTCTTTCTTTTCATTCTCTCTTATTCTACTCGTGTATATAAGCGTGTACTTTATATGTAAACGATGTGATTGTATGATATGAAGGGATGAAATAAAGTGTAACACCATCTCACACTAATATCCCTTCTACCATCATTTTTTTTCGTCACACATAGTAACTTCAATGCTAGGTACAATATGAGTTTAAATCTCGAAAATCGATTTTGTCGTCTGACTGTCCACAGTGGAGGAAAGAGTCTGTGATGAAAGATGTGTGGGCTAAACTAAGAACGACTTCAGTTAAAGACAAAGCGAGTTTTTAAGGAGACTGTATTATAACTTGTTGTAATAGTTTGATATTTGTTCCAACTGTGACGTGAGCGAATCAAACTGTGTTCGTCAAGAAAAGACGCTTATTAACATCTATATTTCTGAGCCATTTGGTTTAGAACATCATTTTTTGTATATATGATTTTTGTGTATAAATGCTTTTGCATCCCAATCAATTATATCTATTCAATGTTCGATTCCATTTTACTATCATAATTATATGATCTGTACAAAATCAAAGACAGTTGCTGGCATTCATAGTAACCATTATGTCTGACGAACTCTATAAATTACAGTCAATTAAGAATAAAAAGAAAAGCATTACAATATTTTAGCGCACTCTACAAATTACAGCTCGGTAAGTTGAAATAGTGAAACTCAACATCTAATGAACTCTATAAATTTCAGTAATTACAAAGAAAAGAAAAGAAGCACTATTGTAGTTTAGCGTACTCTACAGATTGCAGATCGTTAAATTGAAATAATGAAACTCAATCTTAGGCGGACTCTATAAATTTCAACAAGTTTAAAAATATAACTGAAATTTTAATTTGTTTTAAAATTCATATCAGTAAATTTTTTTTGAAATTTGAAAACCGAAAATTTTAGGCTTAAGATTATTTTAAGTTTGAATAAATTAAATTTAAAAAACAATTGAAATTGAATTTTACAGATTTTCTATTTAGATTTTATGTTCGCAAATGAGAGGACACAGTGCTTGTTTTACACCTTAAAAACACTCGTGCGCGACTACATGAATGCTGTGCTTCATACCGCATTAATGAAAGAAAATCGACTAAAGAACGAATAACTGATGATTCATTGTCTATATTTTATATCTATAGAAAGAAAAATCATCATATATATAAATAAACGTTTCTATATTTACACTTATGTAGTAAAAACAAACAGATGGATAAAATTAAACGAACATTAAGTTTTAATGAATCATGTACAAAGAAGTTACGAAGTAAGTCATATATACATAAATAATAAATTTAAATCTTTTTATTTTTTTATTACAGCAAATGAGTTTAATAAAACTATGTAAGTAATATAAATATATTTTTGTAAGATTATTTTTTTTTTATTTGATATAGAAATTCACTATCTTCTATTGAAACTTTTCCTAATGAAATATTTTATGAAATATTCGATTATCTGAATGGTTGTGATATATATTCAGCATTTTCAAATCTTAATTATCGTTTTCAACAATTTTTTAATAGTTCATCTTTTCTATTGAAAATTAAATTTTATTTTATATCTAATCATTTATTTCTAAACAATTATAAACATAAAATATTATCACTTAATTTATGGCCAGCATTTTATATTAATGACTTTTTTTCATGGTTTATTATCGATTCCTCATTTGATCGTCTTGAATCAATTATTCTTCCACGAATTAAACAAAAAACACTTTTATTAGTTCTTAAAAAATTAATTTATCTTCCACGTCTTTTCTCATTAAGTATTGAATTTTATGATACATGTGATGTTTATCAATCGATTTTTACTTTGCCAATGTTAAAATATCTTAAAGTAACATCATTGGAATATCATACTTCACTTTCACTACCAATTGCTATCAATAATCAACAATTAAATACAATTAAAATTCTTATTATTAATCATTCTTGTACATTCAATGAACTTGCTACTATACTTTCTTACACACATCAACTTACTCATTTAAATTTTATGCATTTTTCTGGCAATGATTCAAATATTGAAATGATATTATCAATAACATTATCAAATTTAATATATATTTCTATGAATGTAATTTTCTTAGAGTTTGATAAAATTGAAATGTTCATGAAGAAAATATCTTCGAAATTAAAAATTTTGCGTTTTAGTACTCGATCTCAGGATCAATCTTATCTTCTTTCTAATCGATGGGAAGAATTTATTTTACAACATTTACCTTATTTAGAAAAATTTTATTTCACATATAATATTAATATTGATTATCAAGATGAACTTATAGATTTTCCTTGGCAATCTGATCTATTTATTTCACCATTTTGGATCGCACGAAAATGGATTTTTGAAGGTCAAATTGAAGATGAAGAATCTAGTTTTTTAATTAAACCATACAAGTATAATAACAAAGATTTTTATTATATTAAATTAAATTCCTTTTGTTTTTAAGAAAACGATGGTATGAATTTATAAACGTTGATAGAAAATCTAACATGAAACCTGCAACTTTACTTAGTGTTCAATATATTCCTTTTTATGAATATGTTGATGATTTACTTGACCAGATTTTTTGTATTAGAAGCATAACATCAATTTATCATTTAGAATTTTGTCAAACGGAAATTTTTATTGGTTCATTAATGCGAATTATACGTATGTTACCTAATCTTGATTCATTGAAAATTTGGTCTGTATTATTACCACAATCAACATGTTTATCTATTAAAGACCGAAAATTTCTTCGTCATATAAAATATACGAATAAAATTACAAAAGTTTATCTTGAAAAAAATCTGACGAAATTTGAAGAAGTTCTTTTTATAATTGATCTTTTTCCTCGAATGAAATATCTTCAAGTTAGTTGTACAAGTTTTATAAATATTCAATTATTCATACAAGCTATTTTAATTAAAATTCGAAATAAATCTAAACGTTATCATCGTTTATTAGCTTTTTGTATTTCAACAGCAAGTGATGAAATGGTGAAAACCTTACAAAAAATGATCGATTGTCAAAAACTACTTTTTAATTATACAATTAAACGTGTCTATGATACTATCTATTTGCAATGGAAATAAACTTAACTTTTTATTCATTATAAATAAACTTTTTAGATAATTTGCTTCTTAAAGTCATGTTTTATCATTATTTTCAGAAATTGAATAGAAGTAATCATCACTTAAATAAACAAACGCAGTTTTCATGCATTATCTTAAAAAAAAGACTATTTAAGTTGTTAAAATCTAAAACTTCTGGTTTGAACTATAATATACATATTTATAGTCTTAGTTCTGTTGTGTCAGTCTCATACTCAATTAGTCAATCGTCCTCATCTTCAACTTAATTCTTTTCCTTAATAATAAAATATATAATGGGACTTAGAGAAAAATCTCCTCCCCTCGTCCCCCAAAAAACCTGAAAGCTGCTAATCTAGTATTTTTATTTATTTCCATAAAAAAAAAAAAATAAGTAAGATATCAATACAAATTGGTACACAACAATAACTCTGTGGGGCTATAAATATTCTGGGCAGTTTATATTTCTATGTACATTCTTTGTCAATTCTTCATTTTCCTAAATGAGAAAAAATAAGATATGAGTACAGCACAGTACTTTTTACCAAGTACCAATGTAGTGTTACATTAAGTCTTATGACATATTCATTCCAAATAATTTATCATTCACTAACGGAAGGAAAACTTTGTTATCTTGAGACGTCATATGCTATTTTTCAGTTGAAATATCCGGTTGTCCAAAAACTCTGTGCAATTGGTATATTATGAAATACCGCGATAGCAACCTACTGCATTTATTCAATTGACTGGCCTTCACTAGCAACTACAAGCAGACTCTGTGTGCCTTTAGAAGAAACTCTCCGCACTGACGGGAAAAGGTTTCCAATTGCCATATCACTTTTAAGCTAAAACTTAGTAGAGAATAGGTGATCTTATGTGTTGAATCCGAATTTTACAATGACTTTTTGCTCTGAGGTCTTCTCAGATCCTATTTTTTAAAAACCAGATTGCTACACCCAAAACATTTTTTTCCTGTAAAGTTTTCTGTGCGTGCATAAGAAAGAGCGTACTTGAGGATATGGGTGTGGGTGTGTGAATGGATGGATGTGCAGTCAAAAAGAGTTATATCCATATTCACATCCACTTACATCCAAACCACACCTACACCCACACCCTTGACTGGCAATAAACATTCGAAACAGTCACAGAGAAGATATAGAAGTTCGTTTTCATGAATTAAACATATTTTACTATCAAGAAGATGAGCTAAAAGATTATTGCCTCTACCTGTCGCCAGGCCCCGCGCGAGGGACCCAAGATTGGGGGGGGGGGGTGTGACGAGATTTCAAGGCAGTGAAGACTAAGGGAAGCAAAATTTTTTTCGCATCAGATCTGATGTTAATCTTTTTTTGCGGGCCTAAAATGTAATCATTTTTCGCGAAGCGACAACTTTTTGCAACCTCCTTAAAAAATTTGATTTTTTTCTGGCAAATTTTCAAGAAGAGAACTCGAGTCCAATATGAGAAAATTTCTCGATACTGCCGTTATCGAAAGCGACCACTTTGGTGAAAATTGCTCTATATCAAGCTGTTTCAAAGGAAAAGTTGACTAAAGGATTATCCGATCCAAAATGAAAGGCAGGTTACCATTTTTCGCATAACTATTGATACGAACGAGATAGACAGCTGCGGTTTTCACCATTCGAAAGAGCGATGTCCGAGCCATTGTTCGGTATAGAACTGATTAAGACGAAAGATATTTTTTTTTATGTGTGCCTTTGAATCAACACTTTTCCATTGAGTATTTTCATCAATTTTTAGAATAATCTCAACTCAAATTATGTCAAAATGTAGCTCAAATCATCCTCTTTTCGCTATAAAAGTAACATTTGTTTTTTTTAAACCAGCTTAGAATAAGCGATTGAGAGATAATAAAATATGTGATAATTTTATAGCGAAAAGAGGGTGATTTGAGCTACATTTTGACATAATTTGAGCTGAGATTATCTTGAAAATTGATGAAAATACTCAAAAGAAAAGTGTTGATCCAAAGGTACCTATAAAAAAAAGCATCTTCCGTCTTAATGAGTTCTATACCGATCAGTGGCTCAGACATACCTCTTTCGAATTGTGAAAACCGCACCTCTCTATCTCGTTCCTATCAAAAGTTATTCGAAAAATGGTAACCTGCCTTTTATTTTGAATCGGACAATAGGAAGTTTGTCTAAGTTAACTGCGGTTACACAATTGTTATTTTTCGCGAAGCGAAAACATTTTTCAGACTCACGAAAAACTCTTTTTCCCTTATGTTGCTCGAAAGCAAAAAGTGTTGCGATAACTCTTAGAGATTTCGCCGCCGAAGGCGGCCACGCTAGTGACGACTGTTGGATAATAAAGCTCTTCAAAAAAAAGACAAGTAAAATTGCGTTAAAAACAGAAAAATCACACATATTTCTAGGTCGAATACGCTCCCGTGGTCATGTTTTCGCGAAACGAAAAATTTAAACATCCCTTCAGAATTTTCTAGCAAAAACTTTCAAAAAGATTTATGAATTTTGTTGGCTACGAATGAGTAATTATTAATTATTGGGGGGGTGTACACCCCCCCACTTTCGCGGGGCCTGCCTGTCGCAGTTATTTTTATCTTCTATGCTTTTGTTTTTATCGATTCATGTTCTCAATAAAATAGAACCTGCAGAACTAAGAATCAGAAGAAAATTCTAAAGATGAGATGCTGAAATTAGGGAATCTTTTAACAAGAGAAAAGTTCAAAAAAAATCAGTAGTCTCGTGGTCAAAGCCGAAGATTCTGTAGGCCTGATGATAACGTAAGAACGAATAATTAAATAAATAAATAGACCACCAACAAGTCATTACTTGTTTCTCGTTCTATTTCTTTTTTTGTAAACGAAAGAATAATGATAAAAAACAATCCCTCGATATATGTGGTTTGGTGGAAGAGATAATATCAACCAATAAATAAGTTATTATAGGTTTTGTTTTCATGAACTGGAATTAAATATATGTGTTCATTATCTCATATCTCATATTTTCGATAATGCTCGGCACAATATTAATCTTGATTTTTTTAGGCCAAAGAAGCGAGAAATAATTAGCTTTGTGTAATGTCTCCGTTATAGGGTGTGGGTGTGTGGTGGGTGTGGATGTGGTTGTGGGTGTGGGAGTGTGAGAGGGTGTGGGTGTGGGTGGGTGTGCCGGTGGATGTGGGTGTGGGTGGGTGAGGGTGTTAGTCTTTCTCTCATCAGCACCCACACCCGTACCACCGACACCCACACCCACCCTTTTAGAAAAAATGCAATAAAAAATCAACGGTACGGTATTTTTTGATGCGATTCGCGGTAAACATCATTAAACAGTTGCCTCTACCACATATATGAAAATGAGCAAAATCTGAAGTGATCGATTGAGCAGGGTAAGTCGTGGCTTACATGCAATGGCTCTTATGTTATTGCGTTGTTTAATTCATCATGTATTTGATAGTATAAAACATTCCAACTTTCGATTCCACGGCATACAGATTATTCAAGACAAAACAAACAAAGTTCCTTTAAGGCTTTCTTCTTCAAAAGAAAGAGAATGTTCTTTTTCATTTTTCGTTCGTTACCAACAAATGTCTGTGTTGATTTCTCTTGTTTTTCATAATAACATATTTAACAGTGAAGAAAAACGAGATGTCCTATAAATTTAATGAATTTCGGCATTCATTCACTAGCATTTTTTCAAGCTATTTCAATCAACGACATCCAAGCATTCAACAATGGCTACAAAACAAATAACAACAACCGACAGAGTTGGTCACCGACATGTCGACATTAAAATGGTGCAAAATGTCCTCCTGGTATGGTTGGACAATAACATCGACGATAACAATCCCGATTACCACAATACCGTCACTCGGCTACGACGCATTGTCAATACAATCCATACATTTACTAATAATGATGAATGCATCGACTTTATCGCAGACATTGACGATGAGAATGTGTGTCTGATCATTTCAGGTTTACTTGCAGAATATATTGTGCCATGTGTACATGATATGTCTCAAGTAGACTCCATATTTATATTTTGTCGCAATAAAAAACATCATGAGCAATGGACTAAAGATTGGTCCAAAATTAAGGATGTATTTACAGACATCACATCCATTTGTGAAGCACTTAAACAAGCTTCGCAACAATGTGAACACAATGCTATATCCATGAGCTTTATGACCACTAGTGGTGATGCATCGAAAAAGAATTTGGACCAACTCGACTGTTCATTTATGTACACTCAAATCCTGAAAGAAATTCTCTTAACAATCAAATTCGATGAACTGCACATTAAAGAATTTGTTAATTATTGTCGTGAATTATTCATCGATAACGATAGTGTGTTAAACAATATCAAAAAATTTGAACGAAACTATTGCGACGAAACACCCATTTGGTGGTATACATGTGAATGCTTTTTATATCCAATGCTCAATAGAGCCTTACGACTAATGGATGTGGATATCATTATCAAAATGGGTTTTTTCATTGATGATCTTCACCGACATATCGAAAAATTACATTTCGAACAATTTGGTGAACAGTATTCTGGTGGAATATTTACCGTTTATCGTTGACAAGGTTTGCCGAAGGCTGATTTCGATCAGATGATGAAAACCAAAGATGGACTAATAGCTTTCAATAACTTCTTATCCACCAGCAAAGATCGCGCTGGCTCTCTTGCATTTGCTGAAAGTAACTGTGGCAATTTTGATTTAGTGGGGATACTGTTTGTTATAACGATCGATTATTCTCAAGCCACTACGCCATTCGCCTTCATTACCAGTGTTAATTACTTCAAAGAAGAAGATGAAGTTCTTTTCTCGATGCACAGTGTTTTTCGCATTCGCGGTATCAAATCCATGTGTGAAAATAATCGTCTTTTCCAGGTGGATTTGACACTTACTAGTGACAACGACAAAGATCTTCGGGTGCTTACTGATCGTATGCGAGAAGAAACTTTTCCAAACGCAGAAGGATGGGCCCGATTAGGTTTATGGCTACTTAAA